CGGCAACCAGTTGAGGAGTACAAAGACAAGTGTGTCTTGCCTACAGCCAAGCATGGTGGTGGGAGCGCCATGGTCTGGGGCTGCATGCAAACACACCTCCAAGACCACCACTGCCTTGCTAAAGAAGCTGAAGGTAAAGGTGATGGACTGGTCAAGCATGTCTCCAGACCTAAACCCTATTGAGCACCTGTGGGGCATCCTCAAATGGAAGGTGGAGGAGCGCAAGGTCTCTAACATCTACCAGCTACGTGATGACGTCATCGGAGAGTGGAAGAGGACTCCAGTGGTAACCTGTGAAGCTCTGGTGAACTCCATGCCCAAGAGGGTTAAGGTAGTGCTGGAAAATAATGGCAGCCACACAAAATATTGACACTTTGGGCCCCAATTTGGACCTTGTCACTTAGGGTGGAGTCACTTTTGTTGCCGGCGGTTAGACATTAATGGCTGTGTGTTGAGTTTTTTTGAGGGGACAGCAAATTTACATGTTATACAAGCTGTACACTGACTACGTCACATTGTAGCAAAGTGTCATTTCTTCAGTGTTGTCACATGAAAAGAGAGAATCAAATATTTTCACTTCTGCGAGATTGTGTGTGTTTACTCACTGTCTGTATAGATATACTATAATATATATATATATATATATATATATTAAAATAATTATATACAATAGTATGTATAGTTTAATATACATTTTTTTTTGGCTTTAGATGTATTTTTTATATATTTTCTCCTTTATGATAATGATATTCCCGTCACCCTCTTTGTTTACATTTCTTAGACATGCTCAGAAAATTGATTATGAATATTGTATGTAACCGGCCTAAACGTGTTTTTCATTATATTTTTTAAAATGCACAACAGAAAAAACTCACTTGTCGATTGGCAGTTTGTATCCAATATAAGCCCTGAAAGAAAAAAAAAAACAAATAAGTGTCATTTCACTGAACTCCCATAGAAGCTTTACCATGTCAATGTAACTTCAAAAGTCATCTTCAAATTTTGATCTGCAACATTAGAAATACTCTTGGTGACCCCGCCATAAAAGTCCATTGCCTAGTTATAGGGTGACAACGCAGGAGCACCACTAGGAGACAGGGAGAGAGCGTTGTCACTCCATAACAGGATGTGTTTAAAAAAAGGGTCTCCTGGCAGAATCAGCAGCGCTGAGATATAACAAAAGGATAAAAAAAAAATGGAAATGGATATTTTATTAACAGCAGGCACTTATTTAGAATATAACCAGTTAAAAGTTACATCAGAAATTGTAATCTATAGTCAGTAGAACACAATATAAGATGACATCCACTAATTAATATTTGCATCTACTTAATCTGAATATCTTCATTGGGAAAAAAAAACCAACAGTCATATTTGAGAGAGAAAAAGGCACCTAAAATACGGTGGGTGGTAGTGTGGGGCCCCAGGTCAACTTTTGCATTCGAGGCCCACAATCTTAAGGCTACACCTACTGATTATCCGTATCATAAAACCAGCAAATGTTCCTGAGAACTGAAAAAGAATCCAGATTTTGGATAAATGGCACAGAATGTAACTAGTTAAAAAAAAATGTGTTTTCTGAAAATGAACAGCAGATAAATAAAAATGAGACCAATCTTTAGATGACGTGGATGATCAATGATGATCAATGAATGATCAATGATCAATGAATCAATATACGGAACCATACCAATAAAGTAACATTTGAAGATCACACAACCTGATTTCTTACCTGCCAGGAGCAGGAGGCGGAGCCCCCCTGCCATTCTATTGCTCATGCTGAGACCTCTTCTCAGCCCCGACACAGCTCACAGAATCCTGCCAGAAAAAAAAAAAAAATATATAAAACATCTTTAACGTCCCAAGAAAAGAAGGTTTCCGCTTCACATTACTATAAATGCTTCGCTATGTGTGTGATATGATACATGTTTCTTCCCCTACCTCTTGCTCTGATGACCACTTCAAAGTTTTTAATTTCTGATTTTCTGATTGTGACTGACGGCTGTATCACATCCCAGCCACTTCCACAAATATGGGCCACGGCATTGGCATTTGGCACTTTCAGCCTCATAATTCATTTTATCATGCAGCATGATCTCATGATTAAGACGAGACTAAACGTGGTATATCCACTATGTGTGGCTCTCTACAAAGGGATCACGTGTTCTAATAGCCCCCCCACCCCCCCAGGCACCCCCACACCTTTGAATTTAGTCCTAAAAAATGAATCTTCTACATTCAGGGGGGATGAGTGTTACTAATGTAATTTAGTCAAATCAGAAGTTATTATTTTATGTCAGAGCTGAATTGTCTGAAATGCTAAAAGGCTATGACAGCCAGCTATCAGGGCAATAAAACACCAGACTTTCCCCCGGATCCCCCTCCAAGCTACAAACTGCTGCTAACTTAGTAATATTAAATATAATAATAATTATTAAACTTTATTTTATAAAGTGCTTCTACAGGTAGCTTACTCAATTTTATTATTATTAATATTATTATTATTAGTATTTATTATTATTATTAAATTACAGCAAATAATAATAACCCCCCCAAACAACTTTATATTTATATACGTGCCCCTACAGGTAGCTTCTCAATATTATTATTATATTATTATTAGTATTAATAATAATAATAACCTAGCATAAATAATAATCTCTATTTTATAATAGTGGCCCTCTACAGGTAGTCTCTCACATATAATATTATTATTATTAATAATTATAATAATAATAAACTAATAATAATATTGATAAGCAACCTGTAAGAGCACTATATAAAATAAAGATTATTATAATATTATTATTAATAATAATAATAATAATAATAATAAAACTTTATTTTATATAGTGCCTTTACAAGTAGCTTCTCAATATATTATTATTATTAATATTATTATTAATAATTATAGGCATGTATGGGACTTGTAGTTATTTCGCAATAGCTGGAGCGCCGCCAGTTTGAACTCCCCTGCTGTAGAGGAAAAAATTAGCGGTAAGTGTTGGCGCCAACCCCTGGTTGGGTCAGGTTATGACAACTGATTTTTTTTGCTCCGATCTGACGTTTTGCAACTATATGAATATTTGCAGAAGCTAGTCATTCCTGTATCATAATTGCTGAATTATCACATACAACAAATATCTTCCCATACATGCCATGACCTGATCATCACAAAAGAATAATCAATCACACTTTGACACTCTTAATAATGACTTATTTTTAGTAACCAGTTCAATTCTCAGAACTGTATATCAGATCCGTTTTTTCTGGTTATGGTCGTGCTTCTTTTGTCAATAAACTTTGTTTATTACTTAAGAAAACAAAGTAAAGCATATAATATTTTTGGAACAAACAAGGAATTTCTTTTGGTGATACCGTCTTGCAAAAATTATTTTTTTTTCTACCCAAAAAAATTGCACAAAAACACACCTTTTTATTTGAGCACATAGTTACATAGTTAATGTGGTTACAAAAGTTCAACCAACAGGAAAGAGGGAAGTAAAAAAAAAAAACCTTCAATAAAAGCACGATCCAATTTGCTCCTGCAGGGAAAAAAATTCCTTCCTGATTCCCCCGAGAGGCAATCGGATATTCCATGGATCAACTTTACCTATAAATGTTATATCCAGTTATATTCTGTGTATTTATTCTCTTCTTCTCAAGAGAGAATAAATTCAGTTCCTCTAATCTTTCCTCATAGCTGAGCTCCTCCATGCCTCGAATCAGTTTGTTTGCCCTTCTCTGTACTTTCCTCCAGTTCCCCAATGTTCTTTTTTGTGAATTGGTGCCAAAAACTGAACTGCATATTCCAGATGAGGTTTTACCCTTAAAGTGTCCCTAACCCCCCGCATTCACTATATCTGCTCTCCCCGACCCTGCATTCACTATATACGCTCTCCCCGGACCCCGCATTCACTATATCTGGTCTCCCCGGACCCTGCATTCACTATTAACTTTGGTCTCCTTGGACCCTGCATTCACTATATCCGCTCTCCCCGGACCCCCGCATTCACTATAATCCTTTCTCCCCGGACCCTCGCATCCACTATATCCGCTCTCCCCGGACCCTGCATTGACTATATACGCTCTCCCTGGACCCTGCATCCACTATATCCGCTCTCCCCGGACCCCGCATTCACTATTATCCGGTCTCCCTGGACCCTGCATTCACTATATCCTCTCTCTCTCGGACCCTGCATTCACTATATACGCTCCCCCCGGACCCTGCATTTCACTATTACTGGTCTCCATGGACCCTGCATTCACTATATCCGCTCTCCCCGGACCCTGCATTCATTATATCTAGTCTCCCCGGACCCCGCAATCACTATATCCGCTCTCCCCGGACCCTGTATTCACTATTACTGGTCTCCTTGGACCCTGCATTCACTATATCCGCTCTCCCCGACCCCGCATTCACTATATCCGCTCTCCCCGGACCCCGCATTCACTATATCCGCTCTCCCCCGGACCCTGCACTTCACTATTACTGGTCTCCTTGGACCCTGCATTCACTATATCCGCTCTCACCCGGACCCCGCATTCACTATATCCGCTCTCCCCAGACCCTGCATTCACTATTACTGGTCTCCTTGGACCCTGCGTTAACTATATCCGCTCTCCCGGGACTCTGCATTCACTATATCCAGTCTCCCCAGACCCCGCATTCACTATATCCGCTCTCCCCGGACCCCGCATTCACTATATCCGCTCTCCGCGGACCCTGCATTCACTATATCCACTCTCCCCGGACCCTGCATTCACTATATCCGGTCTCCCCGGACCCTGCATTCACTATATCCACTCTCCCCGGACCCTGCATTCACTATATCTGGTCTCCCCGGACCCCGCATTCACTATATCTGGTCTCTCCAGACCCTGCATTCACTATATCCGCTCTCCCCGGACCCCGCATTCACTATATCTGGTCTCTCCAGACCACTGCATTCACTATATTCGGTCTCCCACAGTACACAGAACATGGAAATGCAATTATTTTAGTAAATATAAACTGCTAAATACCTTTTCTCATCAGCAGTATATAGCAGTCTTGTGACTTCAGCAGAACGCTTGTTAAAGCTTGTTAAAGCTTGTAGGAGGAGTTTTCTTTCTGCTCTAGGAGGATGCAGAACCCCTGACCTCTGCCTGTACAGTGCTGATTGGCCCTGTGCTGATTACATGTACTCTCCAAAGAAAAAGAAAAACCTCTCTAGCAATACACACCAAACTGAGCATGTGTATGTGACTATGAATTCAGTCTGTATCAGGTGGTCATTTCAACAAAAGGAGGAGCAGAGAAGACAGGATCAAATAGCCTTTTTACACAATGCAGAGGATTAACCCCTTAGGTTTTCCACAGTGAGTATAACAGGCATTCTTTACTGCATTGCTATGTTGTGGGCAGGGGCGGACTGACAACTCATGGGCCCCCGGGCAATAGGGGATCATGGGGCCCCTGTGTCCTTGCCCAAACTCAAAAAAGCCTTTGAAAAAGGTACCAGAGGGCATCTTATGGGGCCCCCTACTGACCTCGGGCCCTCGGGCAGTGCCCGAGTTTCCAAATGGTCAGTCCACCCCTGGTTGTGGGTTTAGTAACACTTTACTTAAAAAAAACAGAGCTAGTGTTGATAAAAAAAAGTATTTAATTGTATAATTTGTACCATTTATAATGACCCTAAAAGTACCCTTTTTGCATTTTTAAAAAGTTAAAAACAATGGTTTAAAAACAAAAAAAAATCTGACTTATATGCAAAATCTGAAGAACATATATAAAAAATATATATTTTTAAAAATAGTTTTTCATATATTTTGTAATATATAAAAAAATGCATTTCACCATGCAGTGTATATAAATATATATATACAGTTGCAAGAAAAAGTATGTGAACCCCTTGGGATTACATGGAGTTTTGCATGAATTGGGCATAAATTGTGCTCTGAACGTCATCTAAGTCACAACAATAGAAGAACACAGTCTGCTGAACATAATACTACACACAAACATTAGATGTTGCCATGGTTTAATTGCTCATAACATGTAAAACATTCACAGACTTCTGCAGGTGGGAGGAAAAAGTATGTGGGGCCCTAGCTTAATGACTTCTCCCAGAGCTAATTGGAGCCAGGAGTGAGCCAACCTTGACTCCAATCAGTGTGTGATGATATTGGATGTGTTGCTGACAGCTGTCCTGCCCTTAAAAAAACACACACCTGTTTTGGTTTACTGGTTTCAAGAAGCACTGTCTGATGTGAACCATGCCTCGCAGAAAAGAGCTCTCAGAAGACCTACGATCAAGAATTGTTGACTTGCATGTAGCTGGAAAGGGTTACAAAAGTATCTCCGAAAGCCTTGATGTTCATGTGTCCACGGTAAGACAGACTGTCTACAAGTGGAAGAAAGTTTAGCACTGTTGCTACTCTCCCTAGGCGTTGTCGTCCTGTAAAAATGACTGCAAGAGCACAGCGCAGAATGCTGCATGAGGTAAAGAAGAATCCCAGAGTGTCAGCTAAAGACCTACAGAAATCTCTGGCACATGCTAACATTTTTGTTGACACATCTACAATAAGGAAAACATTAAACAAGAATGGAGTACATGGGAGGACACCACGGAGGAAGCCATTGCTGTCCACAAAGAATATTGCAGCACGTTTGAAGTTTGCAAAAGAGCACCTGGATGTTCCACAGCACTACTGGCAAAATATACTGTGGACAGATGAAACCAAGATTGAGTTGTTTGGGAAGAACACACAACACTATGTGTGGAGAACAAAAGGCACAGCACACCAACATCAAAACCTCATCCCCACTGTGAAACATGGCGGAGGGAGCATCATGGTTTGGGGCTGCCTTGCTGCCTCAGGGCCTGGACGGATTGTTGTCATTGATGGGAAAATGAATTCCAGAGTTTATCAAGACATTTTGCAGGAAAACGTACGACCATCTGTCCACCAACTGAAGCTCCGCAGAGGATGGGGGATGCAACAGGACAATGACTCGAAGCATACAAGTAATTCAACAAAACAATGGCTGCAACAGCATAGAAAATCGCCTTCTGGAGTGGCCCAGTCAGAGTCCTGACCTCAACCCGATTGAAATGCTGTGGCATGACCTTAAGAGAGCGATTCACACCAGACATCCCAAGAATATTGCTACACTGAAACAGTTTTTTTGTGAAGAGGAGTGGTCCAAAATGACTCCAGATCGTTGTGCAGGTCTGATCTGCAACTACAGGAAATGTTTGGTTGAGGTTATTGCTGCCAAAGGAGGGTCAACCAGTTATTAAGTCCAAATGTTCACATACTTTTTCCTCCCTGCACTGTGAATGTTTACATGTTATGTGCAATAAACCATGGCAACATCTAATGTTTGTGTAGTATTATGTTCAGCAGACTGTGTTCTTCTATTGTGGTGACTTAGATGACGTTCAGAGCACATTTTATGCCCAATTCATGCAAAACTCCACGTAATCCCAAGGGGTTCACATACTTTTTTCTTGCAACTGTATAGCGAGAGAGAGAGAGAGAGAGAGAGAGAAGTACAAAAGTTTTTTTTTTTTTTTTATACCTTATTAAGGGTATAAAAAAAAAAAAAAAAAAAACGTTTGTACTTTTTTGGTACTTTTTTTTTTGATAATCTTATGATTGACTGTTTGGATTCAGTATGACTCCTTTGAGGGGATATTGTGTTGATGTCAGAGTGAAATGAAAATCTTATGTTCTTTTTAGCCCTGATGAAGTATTTGTAGCTGCTAAGTTTTAATAAAGGGACACTTACCTGTCTTCACCTGAACTGGTTCTTCGGCAGTCTTCGGGTCCCCGGAGCCAGCATGTTTACTTGGGGCAGCCACTGCGATTCCTTGCAGCTTCACATTTGGCTTCCCACTGGGTATGTGTGAGCCGGACTGCACTTTGTGAATGGTTCTGTAGCCTTCTGGTACCTGTGACATGTCCTAGAAGGTTGAGGACAGCAGGGAGCACTTCCAGTGGATTTGAAACAGAAATCCAATGAGAAGTGGGAGCAGGTACTGTCAAACCCCCCCCCCCCCCAAAAAAAGTGCCAAAAAATAGAAGGGAGGGAGAGCAGAAAGTGGAACTTACCCTTTAAAAAAAAAAAGAATATAGATCAAGCTCCTATCACATTAACAATATAAATCTTTATTGCTCATTGTGAATAGAATTCTAGGAGGGATCACTGGCAGGAGGAAGGAGGTCCTGATTCCTCTGTATAGATCTTTATATCACTAGAGGGGTCACCGGCAGGAGGAAGGAGGTCCCAATTCTTCTATATATAGATCTTTATATCACTAGAGGGGTCACCGGCAGGAGGAAGGAGGTCCTGATTCCTCTATATAGATCTTTATATCACTAGAGGGGTCACCAGCAGGAGGAAGGAGGTCCTGATTCCTCTATATAGATCTTTATATCACTAGAGGGGTCACCAGTGGGAGGAAGGAGGTCCTGGTTCCTCTATATAGATCTTTATATCACTAGAGGGGTCACCGGAAGGAGGAAGGAGGTCCTGGTTCCTCTATATAGATCTTTATATCACTAGAGGGGTCACCGGAAGGAGGAAGGAGGTCCCGATTCCTCTATATAGATCTTTATATCACTAGAGGGGTCACCGGAAGGAGGAAGGAGGTCCCAATTCCTCTATATAGATCTTTAGATCACTGGAGGGATAACCAGCAGGAGGAAGGAGGTCCGGATTCCTCTATATAGGTCTTTATATCACTAGAGGGGTCACCAGCCGGAGGAAGGAGGTCCTGATTCCTCTATATAGATCTTTAGATCACTAGATGGGTCCCCAGCAGGAGGAAGGAGGTTCCAATTCCTCTATATAGATCTTTATATCACACGAGGGGGTCACCGGCAGGAGGAAGGAGGTCCGGATTCCTCTATATAAAATCTTTAATTAGACCTCATTTAGAATACTGTGTCCAATCCCGGAAACCTCACTTACAAAAAGATATTGATAAGATAGAACGAGTCCAGAGACGGGGAACAAAAATGGCTCAGGTCTGGGGAATAAAACATATCAAGAGCGACTTCAGGAACTTAACATGTACAGTCTGGAGGAAAGAAGGGAAAGGGAAGACATGACTGAAACCTTTAAATTCATCAAGGGGGCAAATAAGGTTCAGGAGGGCAGTATTTCAACATGAAACCAAAATCAGGAACACGGGGACATGACCATAAACTAACTGGAGGAAAGTCCAAAACTAATCTCAGAAAGTACCATTTTACTGAAAGAGTAGTTGATACTTGAAATAAACTTCCAGCAGAGGTAGTGAGCCAGTCAACAATAAATAGCTTCAAACATGCCTGGAACAAGTATAGATCTATACTCAGACAAAAAAGTTAACAAAAACAACAAAACAAAAACAACCCCACCCCCCCCCCCCCCCCCCCCAAAAAAAAAGAAAAAAAATGAGCAGAGTAGATGGACCACTCAGCCTTTTCTTGCCATCACTTTTCTAAGTTTCTACAAGGACACAGGAGGGAGGCAGGACCTTTTCATATGTTCTGCAGAAGACCCCCTTTTTGTCAACTTGGGCCCCCCCCACAGTGGCGGAATGCCAGGGCCCGTTCGCAAGTACGACCTTTGCGACCCTGGTAGTTCCACCACTGCTGTGGAGAAAATAAAAATGTTACTTAAAGAAAAATACCACACATGTGGAGGACTTTCTCTGTGGCTGATAAATGTGTATTCATGTTGTGTGTGACTCATTGACAGGTAGGATTTCTTATCACACCTTCATAGAGAATTATATTCAAAGCAGCTCCCAGTTAATTAGAGCTCATGGCACAGATACGAATGTGTTGTGCTTTTCCAGCTGATTAGTGCTGATTATGTAAAGTATCGCCTGCCAATATTTATATAGCCAGTTATACGGCAATGATGTATTCCATCTTCACTGCGTTCCTCAAGGTTCCACCATGTTCTAAATATACTCAGTGTCTGTGGTAGACACCTAAGTCTTACATATTCAAAGTGATATAAAGTAACCAAGTGTTCTATTTGGATATAAAAGAATGTTGAGGGGAGGAGCCAAGCAGCCATATAGTTTAGTAAATCAAATTTACTTTGGACACCATACTATTGGACACTCTTCCTACTCATGAGGGTCTCAAGGGTGGCTGGAATACACATTTCAAGAGTCTAAACATTCCCTTCATCGAGTAATATTTAGACACAAGGTGCTCACTGGAGTGGATATCACACATAGATTCCCTGTCCTGCAAAGGTTTGTGGACAACTCACCATACTATTGGACACTCTTCCTACTCACAAGGGTCTCAAAGGTTGCTGGAAT